TTTTTTTTTTAATTCATGTCTACCTTCTGAATTCTCTAGTGTTCTACAGCTAGTCATGAAAATAATTCCATGTACTCCCCGGTTGGAGGGGATCACTAACGCTATCAGTTTTTTCATGTCAAATTCCATTAATGGCTGGCCCTATTTTATAATTCTGTGAACACCTGTATCAATCTGAAACTCCATTAGACTCAAGGAAAAGCCATGTATCAATTACCTTAGAAATAGCTGTTGCAAGTTTTTCAACCCTTTTCTGTCATGTTTTTAAGTGTTGTCTAATTCAGTCACTGGGTCATCAGTTTTAAATATCACTTACAAAAAAAGGATTCCTGTCAATTTCCCTCTTTTTAAATTTCTCTTTTTATCTTTCTCGTGTTTGAGGCAATCACACCAATCTGGACATCAGTTTAAATTCTGAATTCATTCGCTACCAATCCTTGCAACATTTGTTTCAACTTGTAAAAGCTTTGAAAAAGTAACCATCCAGAGCACTCTACTTTTTATACGTGAGAGATAAGACTATACACTTCTGCCCAATATCCTTGAACCTTACAGTATCTTCTTTTACCATCAATTCTACAGCCTTTATCTTAGCAAGAGAACTTTTTCTCTCAAAATCTCATAACCTGGGCTCTGTTGATTTAAAAAAAGAAATCCTAATTTTTTTTGCCACAAATACTGCAATCAATCAATCCACCAACCAACCATTCAATCAATTAATCAATCAATCAAAACTCCTTGTCTTTAATTTAGCTTATTTATCAGCTCTTCAAATCACAGAAAATTAAAAAAGAACAAAAACTTGACTGAGTCTGAATATTTATCAGTGGGTGTTTGAAGCAGAGGTATCAGTTTTCATCATCAGCAAGAGATCTAAGGTGGGCCCAGACTTTGTCACTCAACATCAAATTACTTCCAGAAGTGAAAAAAGCCTCAGAAAATCCAAATCAAAAAACAAAAACTATCTAAAAATACCATCTCTAGTGTCTTCACCGGGATCACAAAAATATCTTTTCTTCTTTTAAAAATATTGTAGAAAATAATTATAAAATATCATAGCACACTACCCATTTCCACATCCATCTTCAGCACTTAACTCATGTCTATCAAGAATCTGGTTATTTCAAAACATAAAAAGTAAACAACTTAAATTAATATTCTTTAATATGAATCATTTCATCCAAAACGAAAAAATCAAATAAATGATCACTCTTCAATATGAACCACTTCATATCCCATCAAATTATCAACCATCTCAAAATATACCTTTTCCATGAATGTTTTGAGCACCCGTATCAGTTTGACCATCAGTTTGGGGTCACAGGAGAGGCTGGGGCCCAGGTAGGCCAGCATAGGGAAGGCTACTGTGACCAGGTCCCCAAAGGTGTGACACTGGGTTACAGAGAGACCCAGTCTGGGGGTGTACTTGAACACTTTAGCAGGAAGACCACTGTACCTAGAATGAAGGGAAGGGAGATGGTTAAATAATATATAAATATAAATATCATTTACCATGAAATGCTCCATGAGCTCATAGCTTCGCTAAGGAAAAAAGAGAATAAAAATTTATTTAAAAGTATCAAGAGTCCTATATTCAGTTGTCATTGAAAACCATTAATCTCTCTTTTAAAGAAAAGTTTATCCTGGAATTTTCATCAAAATTTGTGAAAAACGTTCTAAGGCTGTATTCCCAGACCTTTTAGATCAATCTATCCCCACGGGGAGTCTCACTAGATTACTGTCAGATAATCCGGCTTAAATGTCCGTCCCGCCTACTACAAGCTGTAAGGGGGTAATTAACTTTCGTGTCCGCTCGGCTGACAGCTATTTAGCGTGAACCCCCAGGGAGTTAGGTCGATCTAAAGTAGATCAATCTAATCTCTGGAAATGGGGTCTAAGATATCCTTCCAACAAACAAACAGACAGACAAACTGATGCTAACAAAAATGGGGCCATCTTCATCAGCTGAGGTAAATTATTAACTAATGAAGACAAGGAAATTAATATTGATATTGTTGATGTGAATCTCTTACACATACACACACCGAGAGAGAGAGAGAGAGAGAGAGAGAGGGAGAGAGAGTGAAAGAGAGAGGTGCCCTCACACGAATACAAATTACAGCAAAAAAATGACCACCATAGCCTTTTAACCCACAATAACAGGGCAACCTAGGTATTAACCAGGCATCCCTTTAAGGTCAAATTAAGGACTGTTTTCTATCTTTTAAATGCACCAGAGACACTGTCCAACAGGTACTAATAGCTCCTAACATCAGATAAATAAACTATCTGCCCATCCCTTACAAGTACCATATTACTCTCTGAACTGCTTCTAGTTTGTCTAGACAAGTACCCTTATTGCTCCTCTGGGCTCAGTTTGGTATAATATAATTGTAAGTTATAGCCAAACAGCTAATTCGAGAGCTAAAGCCATATCACATTTTCAGTCAAACCCAATAAAAATTGTGCAAGTTGCATATTACAAAAATGTTTTCATTTTCTTCAACAAGGGCAAAGAGTTGAAGGCCAGTCACCCAGTGGAGAAAAAATTTATACACAGGGGCTTGTTTCTAGCATTGGTGTGCGTTTGTATTTTTATTCATGTGTGTATGTGTGTGTGCGTGTGTGGGTGAAGGAACAAGAGAGAAGAGGGACTTACTGTCTATACAAAGGATCCAGAATAATGTGCAGAAGAGCACACAGGCCCTGAGCAATAGGAGGTTGAGCTGTGGCCGAATATTGAGGCAATCTCTTGATTATCTGTTCCGCGTGGTTCCAGTCTCCAACAGCCAGCAAAGACTCACACAGACCCAGCTTCTGGTTGTTGTTCTGAAACAAGAAAATCATTAATATTTTCTTTTATAATACAATTTATCTCTTTTAAGAATCTTAGGAAATCTTTCTGGTTATTCCAGATAAAATTTAGTTACTGATGAGCAAACCAAATTAATTAAGTATACATATGTGAAAAAAATTTACGGGGAAAAGGCAAAATAAATTTCCAAGAGCTGTTTTTAATAACATTTTAATATATGAAAAAAAAAAGAATAATAAGACTAAGATCAGAAACAAACACCAAAACTTTCTACATGACTAAATGAATTAAATTCTATCATCAAAGGACAAATTAAAATAGTTGTAGGACAGCTTCCTGGGAAGGGTAGTATGTAAATTGTTAATAATCAGAGAGATCCTATCATACGTCACTAACAATAACACACAATAGTTAACCCAATAATGCTTTTTTTCCTAGTTTTATCATTACTATATAATCCTGAAAACATAATTTAATATAATTTTTTTTCTTTCATACATTATATAGTATTTATTTTCAGGAAAAAAGCGGGAAAATGAATACGTCTGGTAATATTAAGAATCAATAATTCATTTTGTCACAGCTTGCTTTATTTGCCAAGATGTTAAGAAATGTCGAATGGGGAGTCCCTCATGCAAAATATATTTCTCTTGAAAGAGTCAATCAAATATCAAATATGATGACCAAAAACAATCATCACACAGCTTTTATTATGCCATAGAAGTAAACAAGGTTTGATTAAATACACAGCTACATCAATAAAACTTTGGTCTCTAATCAAAGGTTAATGACCCTCAGCAGAATAGGAGACCTTTGAGTGACGCATTTTGCCTCACGTTAATAAAGGACACAGATAACAAGACCCTTGCCAAGACAGTGAAAGGAAAAACGTAGATTAAATCAGTAATTCAAGGCCAAAATGTCACATTTGATAACTACTGGGTTATCTTTATGATGTAAAAAGCCATTTTAGACATGTAATATCTCATGATCCTTTGATAATATGATTGAGCTCCGGGTCAACTGGCAGCCTAAGGGAGAAGAGATGACCACAGAGTAAAAACAAGCACTCAGTTCTATTACACTTTGAATATACAAAAGGGTTTACAAATGTTTCAATTACAAAAGAGAATCAAAATGATGAGTGTCAAAACAGACAACTTCTTATTTCAAGTGACCATTGTTATAGCATATAACAACGTTTCAAGGATAAATATATATATATATCAAAATTCCAGATTTACCTGCTTTATTTTACCAGAATCATCTTCATTTTCCTTCTCCTCTTTTGCCTTATCTGATAGGATGACGACATTGAGTTTTCTGGCATATTCTCTGGCACTGGTTACCTCCTTCTTGAAGCTTTCATTGATGTCACTATCTGAGGGGCTCAACTGGAACACAATAGAAAAAAAAATTTTATTGACTTAACAACAACAAAAATTAACATCTTAATGCAAATGTTCATTTACTTTTAATTACGATAATTAAGTACCTTTAATTAAGTGGCTGAGCAGTTAGGATTCTCTTATTCAGTTATAACTGTAAACTGCTCGCATCCTGATGCCTTGCTATTCTTTTAAACAAGACGAATTTGCCTTTAACTTCTAGTTTTGAATGAGTACCTAAATTTACATTTTAGTATCATAATATGACATGCTTTTCTAAGGGGGATTAGATTTATTTGGGAATAAGATGGTTTTTATCTCATCCAAACATGAAAAAAATACCCAAACACTTCCTGAATCTTGTGTGAAACATCAAATTCTAGTCTGGCTATTGGATAAAACAAATCTAACTGTCTCACACCATCTTGTATTGACATGATGTACTTGTAATGACCCTATAAAGGCTGAAAAGCAAGCAAAGATGTCTAGCGGTGCAAAATAATATGAAGCGCAAAGCAGAAAATGATCTACTTAAGTTTCTGAATCAGTTTCACATCAGTTTAGGAGAAGATAAAATATAACCTTTACTCAAAGCCTCCTTGTACCCCTAGGGTGCAAAGTAATGCCTCTTCACAGTAATGTCAAGTTATTTTGAGTCATTTTTGTTTTTGATGAAAATTGCTGACATGGTTGGAAAACTCTCCAGTGGGGTCTAATGACAATATAATGCTATAGGTTGCAGTGTTAAAGAGCATCCCACTAGAACGAACCCTAACAGGGTCACAGATATACTATTAAGGCAAAAAATATTAGAGAAACAAATGTATGTTTCCCAAGTTTGGTCAAGTTCAACTATCTGCCTGTAAAAAGTTAACAAGCTCAATGCCTCTTTTCCATCTTTATGTTAAAATTAGCGTAAAATCAAATTATCGTAGATTAAGTCATATGTCAAATAAGTTCTAAAAAATTTAACGTCTAGTACCAGGCATGCTGATGGAGCTGACGAAATTTTGCCATAGGGTAAATTGGCTCAAATAGACCAGTGAGTGAGCCATTGACTTGCATAGCAACTATACCAAAACTACCTACAACTTCTTCCTCCTCATGTCAGTAAGCTGTTCGCCATTTGTTATTCTTATTCAATCAGCTGACACTTTCCACAACCAGTTCCAATACGACCCCCAATGCCATGTGCAAAACTATCAATTAGACTGTTATTATTTGCCATAGCCAGGAGAAGAAACCCCATAATTAATTCATCTCATTGACTTTACATGTAAAGTTTTATTCATCCGTTTAGCGATGTGGACTTAGGGATGATACACAGGGCTATAGACAATTACTGTTCCAGACTTACAAGTCAATACCAAGTCCTCCATGGCCAAGAAAACCTTGCTTGTTTCACAGAATGACATCATGACGCATGCGACTTGGCCAATGCAATCAATACATTTGCCCCCATTTAATTTGAACATTTTGCCTAGAAGGGATAACTACAAGACTTCTTTGATGAAGTATCTAGGTGCTGCATGCACTCAATGCAGGGCTTGATGCTGTTGCTGCATGGAGCATTTACAGATTTTTTTATCTACCAAATCTTGCTGACATACTACTGTGACAATACTAAGGAGAGGGCATCACGGCTCTTAAACTTCACTAAGTGCTACTGTCGAATTTGGATGTAATATTTATTCAATGTTCTGCTTGGTATCATATCACTTTTGCTGAAAATCTGATCAAGGTAATGATATTTTTGTTGATGTCATTCTTGCTTTTGTTGTAGCCGTTTCGTGCAGTAGTTAGCGTCACTGACTGGACTCTTCCATAAGGAGAAAAGTTATTGTATCCAGGAAAGTCCATCCCAACACAATGGTGACAGCTTCAGTGTCAACAGACAGAGATAATGGCCATAGAAAGTCTTTATAATCATTGTGACATTTAATATATCCTCTTACTAATTGAAGTATGTGCTTGGCTAATGTCAATTCAAAAATAGGAAAACTAAGAATGAAATTGGTTGTATTCAAAGCTCACTCTTTTGTCTAACAAGTTAGTGAGAAGAGGTTTCTTTCTGAGGTTTGAAGAAAACATAGAAAATATCACAGCTGTCATTATTCTACCCACATAATGTAGAATGGACTTAGTTGACTTTACACTGAAGATAGACAGTCTCTTCTCAGTGCATCTTTCCTCTGCAGGCCAAACATGGTCATGGCCAAGGGCCCATTTTACACAAGTTCTTTTGCCTCAAAACTGATGTAATTCACTAATAAGTTTTAGACCAACATTTTGATCAAATTTGACACAAAATAAATTGGTGGTAGTCCATGCAAATGGAATACCATGCCTGTTTTATAATAGGAGGCATGGCTTTTGCTAAAGATCAATACCTATTTCATTTAAATGGACTACTGTGGATTTATCTTGAACCCACAAAAATGTTGCATCTAAAAATTTAGACCAATTTAGACTATAGCAACTTTGTGAAACAGGCCCCAGCCAATGGAATCCTTTGGTCAATGATCAACCTACCAAGATGGCTTGACCCATCTTCAATGTTAATGTGACTTAGGGCTGTGTATTCATAAAGAGAGGATTGTCAAATGTGACAGGCAAAAGAAAGTCAAAGGATATGCTTTACTGCACATTATTCTGCATCTATTGTAAGATGCATCTCCAGAGAACACAACCGGCCGACTGTTATGAAACACTGCACAAAAGTTTTATCATATCCCCAATGACACGAATCTGACACCAATATTTAATCTACAGCCTCTATGCAATAAACATCAGCAGGTAAGATGTGCTTACTCACAATTATATCTGAAGTATTTAGGCAACAGCTATAGTTATTGTACNGAGATATATACTTTGATCAGATTTTTAATAAAATGTTCTGTACTTCTATCTCGAAAATTTTATGTACTTGTATTCCATGCAAATAATTTGTTTAATAAAATTAATATTATATATCCTCGATTGCATCATCACACTAAGAAATATTCAGAAAATGGATGAAAAGATTTTTACTTTGTACTCTTTACTTTATGTTTGTATATAAATATATATATTCTTCCGGGGGAATCGTCTGGGGGGGAATTGTCCTGATACCCTATATATTTTTGCTCCACATCAGCCACCACATAACCTAATCAACATTTCAATCTATTTTCCGTAAATTTCTACTAGAAATTTCATTACATTCTATCCATTTCTGTACATCTGGTGGACATTCTGGCCTCTGAATCTCCTCCCCCACTATCTCTCTTAGTAACTTTTCTGGTGTTGAGTTTACCACCGATTGCTTCGCTAGCATTATGGCACAAACAAAGTCATCTTGTGTCCTCTCAATTTTCTGCTCCAATATAAAAGCTTTTTCATCCCACCATAAAATCTAACAAAAGCAAAAAGGAATTTGTTTATTAGCAGGGTTATTCAATTTGAACAATATTCCAAATTACAGTAATTTATAATATTTTTTCTAAAACATGCTTAAATAACTTTACTGTTTTCTTTAAAATATGCAATAATTGTTTAACATAAGAAGTCACATGTATACAAAAAATACTATACATCAGTGAAAGAATGTTTTGTCAGAAACTACAGTGGTCTACCTTGGATTTTATCCTGAAGGTATCAAAGAGCTGAAGTGGTCTCCTGTATCTAATTGTGGCTCCTCCTAATAATATTTTTGCATTTTGTTCTCTGGAAGCCCTTGGCATGCCACACTGACACCAAAACTTGAACCGTGCAAAGTCGCATTCTCGTAGATAACGTGCATTATTCATGTGTATTTGTAGATCCAAGTCTGTTGTTGAGCAAATGCCTGGTAGCAAAAAATATAAATATGTATATTCAACTTATTTTTTCTACATATTCATTCAAAACTACTAGTAGCTTGTCATGACTTTTCCTACAGAAACATGCCTAAATACTTTTATTATCCTATAATTCTCTGTGATTATATCAAATCCTGTAAAACAAAAAGAGCAACATTTGTTATTGTGAAAAGTGTTATTAATTTCATAGACCTTGCAAACAGTTAGATTTCAAGTCTGGTCACTAAAAGTTAAAAACATGTCATGCCACTGTGGCGTGACCAAAACGTTTTGAGATAAGACAAATAATTCAATGATACACTCCCCTTTTTGCTACATGTACATCCTAAGTTACATTCATTTTTTTCAAAAGGTTTTGTACAGGTAATATTATTACAGATGCAAATAATCCGCGTGTCCCTACTCTTATTCTCCTATATAACCGCAGCCAATAAGTAGAGTAAGACTTTAAGCTGAGGCAAGATGGATGTTGCATGATGAAAACGATTTACAGTACATGTGCAGATCAAACGATCTAAAACATAATAAAGATCATGTACTTACTGTAGTAAACGCTCTCTTCAAGCGGATGCTTCTTTGTTTGCAACATTGTCAATATTGTAATCGCAATGCTGTGGAGAAAATAATGAACTTCAAATAAAATATACATCACTGCAACAGCCGGCCATGCCAAATAGGGCAGCGCCATTTTCACAATAGTATAGTCACATGATCTAACCTCTCCAGTGATTGAAGTTTCGAAAATCCAAGAACGAAGTAGACGATTTTTGTCGAGAAGAAAGCGCATCAATTCTCCTCAGCATTGCTCCCAACGGAACGATGAAGAGGAAACATTCACAAAATATGATTTGGAGTGAACTGAGATAACAGAAAAATCGGTCTCGTATAAATAATTCATGTTGCAATTTCACTGCGCCAATTAGTGCTTCTATGTGATCGACTACCAATAAAAATGATAAGAATACATGTAACAGAGGAGATAATTCATAAAATCCAGGCGTGGAAATGAGATTAATTGCAACTTTTGTTGAATCGTATTAAATGGAATTATATATATTACATAACATAAGCTTTCATAACTATCATATGTTATCCGTTAATGAGTTTTGACAGAAAAGGGCAAAGCACGCATGTGCGCTCGACTATCTTTGTTATTGCTCGAAAGGGTTCCATATACATACGCTTCAAACTGTATGCCAGTTTTTTCATTTCCAGCGATATCAATGTACCACGTGCAATTTTCAAGCATTTAATAGCCTAAGCATGTTATATATCCGATTAAAAATCACCTTTGGATTCTTTTCTTTCTTTCTTTTTTGTTTCATTTTGTTTATTTATTTTTTTTTTCACGCAATTAACTGTACATCCAATTTAAGTTCAATATCTATATTNTTATACAATTTGCACAAGCTATTGCAGCAAATGAAGGCTTTCATATGATTTTTCTCCTTTTTCTATGGTTGTAAATTTGATTAAGAGAATTATGATATAATAGTGACCTTAGAAATCATCAGACATTTAAGAAAATAAGATGTACCATTAACTGAATGTTTGCAATTCAAAAAGTTTCACTTTGAAGTAAAAAGCATACAAGATTTTTTTATGACCTGTAACAGAGAATAGGGTTTAACTTAATTACCACCTAAGAAGTTAACATAACTGTTAAAATTCCCAAAGACTTATTGTCAGGGCACTGTACAACTTTGAGTACTTTTAATGTTCTATAAAGTGTCTTTTTTTAAATCACATTTAAATGTAATCCTCCAGTATTTCCTGGTTTTCTCATCAACAAGTAATTTCCCTGGAAATCCATTTGCCAGCCCTGACAAATGGTAAAAAGTGCTTGTTCAGATAACATTTCATTTCCAATCATCATGTCAAGGTTCAGTAGCAAGACAGACAATAAACAGTCTACTTCACAGATATAAGTTCTTAGAATAAGCTGATGGTATCTAAGTTATAGTCTTCTCTTTCATCATTTTTTCCACAGAAATCCATTTCATTCTGCCTTCACCGGTTCAGAAACATTTCAATTCACTTTCCTGTTCATTTTCAATTTTTTTCTTAGGTGCAGGTGGCTAAATAAGATAGACATGCCAGTTAATTAAGAAGTTCACCTATACAGAGCCTAGTCTCCTCTGATGTACTATATCAGAAAAAAAAATAGACGTCAAAGGAGTTTTCCTTAATGCATTTCACCTCCGAGTCAGTTATGCAGTTGAGTTAAATTGTCAATATATGACTTTGATATACCATCTTTCAGACATTAAAATCACAATTAAAAAGACTGCACATGGAGGCTTATCACAGCTAGAGATCAAAATAATTGTATCAAAATTCCAGAAGTAATTTGAAAAGCATGTGTGGACACAGTGCTTTGCATTTGTGAATATCAAGAAACTGAAATTGCATAAAAAAAGCATAAGGCAATTATATGGAGTATGTTGCATCATAAATCACACCCTGTGCCCTAAAAGGAACAAAGTGTCAGATATTCAACATATGTTAAGTAAATAAACCACTTCCTGTTAAACTATCGACAAAAATATTTTTCATCTTATTTTAACAGGTAAATGCCATGAATTGATGTCACAAAAATAATTAAATCTGTCATCGCCGACAAACCTTGACATGCTTCAACCATCTTTGCTTAGCTTTGAATGAAGCGCAACCCATAAGTCAGTACAAGAATTTACCCAGAAGGGATGGTAGTGCTTAAAAAACCCATGTGAAAGCATGTGTTAAGGGCCTTCTACTTTCCCTAAATTGTAACAGAGAGAGCATTCACAAACAGTTGATCTGCAGACTAACTAGTCTATCAATCAAATATGCCACCCACTTTAAAGCAAGCTGCATAATTCCCAAACAATTATGTAATGGATTTCCTGCCTCCCAGCAGGGGCAGCGCAATTTAATCTCGGCACATGCTTTCAAGTGGGTCACACCATACTTGATCCATGGACTAGTTCGTCTGCCGATCAACGGTTTGTGAATGTTCTCAGAGTTTTTGGAGAGTGTCAGAAAAGGAGGTTGCTTTCTCAGAGAAAAATAACCTTTATTCCAGGAAAATATGCAGGAAAAATCTTATATTGTGCATCATTAACTTTACTAAGTGACTGATAATTCATTAAAAGTGACTGATAATTTCTTAATCTTTTCTCCAAAAAATGGCACTCTTAAATGTTTTATTTTTACCTCCAATTTCAGGTTGGAGACAAAGACCGACTATTGCCCAATCAAGTCCCAGTTTCCAGGAACGTGTCCTGTAAAACGGACAGCAGACTCTGATCACTCGGAAGACACATGAGACAGAGAACACGTGAAACTGATATGATCAGTAGGCTGAGATACGTCACCCCTGCATTATGCTTGGACGTCATTCCCACCTTCACCTAGATTACACACCAAACTAAGTGATCTCATAACTTCTAAAGATTCAATATCAGCAGGACTTATTAACAAGCGCTGTGTTGATGTTCGCTAATATCCACATATGAAGAGATAATCAGTCTTGGGACAATGCAATAATAGTTGCTCCTCTTAAAAAGCTAAATATTACACTGGAATACCTCTTTAGCTAACTCAACAATACTCTTTTCACAACTGTTGAGACCATGTATTTTGGCAAAACTCATCAAGACTTCTAAGTGAATGTAATATCATTGGCCTCAAAACAGTACAAGAGACTGCAAGTCTTTCTTTATTGGCAAAGCACAAAAGACTGAATGGAGATTTCACTCCAAGAAAAGATGTTTATTTGGCAGTGCAGATGTTTCAACAATACTTCAGAGCAGGCATCTTCTGGTATTGTTCAAAGATAGGAAACCTCATTTCTTTAAAACAGACACCCTGGAACTTTTATTATATTACTTTCAATAGATCAGTCTTTCAGCTTTCAGAAAGGTGTGAAATAATTTGGTCTTGAAAGAAAACAAATCAATTGACCAGCAGTGACTTGTGACTGACCAGGGGTGTTTGATTATCAAGACAAAAATAGTGCATTGTTGTTTTGTCACTCTTTTTTGCCAGACATGTCACACTTCGTTATTTTCAAGAGGATGACTTTCAACAAATGAGACTTAAGTTGGTACTGATAACCAAGCTTCGCACGATTCAACCTTGTCTCCTTTCTTCTTATAATGGAAAAAAAAATTACATCACTTGCAGTTTTGCCAAAAGAGTAAATATGCTGGCAATATAATTATCACCCCATCTCATTAAAAAACTTTCTGTGGAAGTAATATTAATCAGAATAAACTTGCCAAAAACATCATTTTCAACTTTCACCCCAGGGCGACATCATTACCCATAGTACGTAACAACTGCAATGTATGTGATACAAAGTAGCATATCAGCGAACTAACAAAATGATGTGATACACACACACACACACACAGTCCAAGTACAGGTGAGACTTATTCTTATGGACTCCCCAAGTACTTGACCAGCAAGAATAAAGAGATGCAGATAATGTGATACAAATAGCGAGTGATTACACGGACACTTAATTCAAATGAAACATGGACTGAAAGGACAAGAGAATCCATCTCTGAGACTGAACATTATAGATTTAGAAAAAGGGGCTTATAAATTGTGCTAAAATAGAATGTAACCGATTTGTCGTCTTGTCATGATAATGTTACAGCGCAGGTGGATAACTGGTAGATAACCAGTGCGTCAAATCAAGGAGAGGCAGTCTGAGAGAGCAGACAGAGTTAAATTGAAAGAACAGAAGCTGAATAAGCAGATTTGTTCACACCTCAAGCAATTTCCACCAGCTCTATAATAAAAAGAGATTTGCAACTACGGTCACTCATCAAAGAGCAGTTAGCAGTAACAGCACTTATCAACGTAGTAAGTGCTACTCATGTGGGCGCAGCTCACAACTTAGAAATTGAAGGAGGATACCAGGTCATTACTCGGATAAGTGGGGGACATATATATATATATATAGTGATGTCATCAGCAATATCATAACAGTGTTCAGTGGCACCTCCATCCCTCAGCAATATTTGCTGCAGTTACAATGTAAGATGCTAAAATCACACATCGAATGTGATATCCACAAAAGGAGCAGCACTCTGATATTGACCGTGAAATTACTGGAAAACTATTTTTGCAGCAAGAATAGTGGTTTCAATACCGACTATTTAAAACTGGGAATTATATTTCATTTACTCTCTTTGATAATTACAACGAAATGGAGGAGACAAACAGCAGCAATCTCACATGGACAAATAACACCAGCAACTCTAGTCAGCCAGATGGGCCCTTTGGGAAGGCAGAACCCCACTACTTCTGGCCCATCCTCATCATGGCTGTGGTCCCTGTAGTGGCTGTCACTGGCAACAGCTTGGTGTTACTGGCAGTGAAGTATGACAGGAGACTACAGAATTCCTTCAATTATTTCCTAGTGTCTTTGTCCATAACTGACCTGTTGGCTGGAGTCTTGACCCTCCCACTGGCCATCACACGGGCCTTTCTGAGTAAGTACACTATTCCACTGGGTTACTATTCAGGGGTGGATCCAAAAATATTTCTGACATTCTTTCAAATTATCTTTGTTGAACTATCCCCCATTTTTGAGCATCTTATGACAGAAAAAAAAGTTGTAAGTCAATGTAAACTCAAAAAATTCTGACCATTTTCTGGAAGACCCAGAATACAGCTTCTGTCCGCTCCTGACTATTAACGTTGTAGGTTTTACGTAGTTAACACAATTATATAATTTAGCACTCCTGTCTGTGTTAGAATTAATCTTGCAGTAAAGTAAGTTTTAACATTGCAGCAAACCACCTGCTAGCATTTAAGAAAGATAGACATGGTCTGAACAAAACTGAAGTTGAAGTGAAATTTTCTATTCAGTCAAGTAATGATAATTTTGAAATTCTGAATTGAGGGGGGAACAACAGAAATTTTTAACAAGACATATCCAGATCCCTTTATTTTTAAAAAAGAAAAGAGGCATCATAAGACCAAAAGAGGTACAGCATATCCATAAATTTGCAGATATTTTTTCAAAAATATCATTATTATTCACTACAGTGCATTTTTACCATTTTTATCTATTTTTCTTAATGTTCGAAAATATGGAGAGTCATCATCTCACCCCCACCCCACCCTAAAAAAAGGAACTTCAATATTTTGAGGAAAAGGGAGAGAGTTAAAAGTCTTCTACAAGAATAACGGACAATTCAGAGAGCCTTCAAGGTTTCCAGAAAACCCATCACTTTTGAAATGAAAACTGGCAACCTCATCACAGAACAAAGTGCATATTTTCTAACCTCAATCCTCAGATGTATAGACATCCTATAATATACTGGATCATTCAGTGAATACCCCCAGGTAGCTATTTGTGTGCCAACATTACACATACCAATTTCAAAGGTCCCTAAAAGTAGAAGATGGAAGGCTGCCTGTGAGATATGGTACTATGTGTCATCTCATAATAAAAAAAATCATTTTCAGGGATGTAAACTTAAGTTAAAAGTTAAGGTAAATTCTGAGACCAGTTTTTTTTTTTTTTTAATACTGCAACACTTAGTAATGAAGCCATAGTCAAATCAAATCTGGGATTCAGTTCCTAAGCAGCACACAGCCTTGTTCAAGGTTTAAGACTGAGGAAATCAAAATGATCTGTGAATTCGCAACCTATTACAACTGTCAAGGCAATAGAAGTTATGTTCATATTCCAAGTATGTTGTTCACGGCTTTTTTTTTTTTTTTTTTTTTTTTTTGACACAAAATATGAATCTGTTCCATACAGTTTTGACAAATAATCTCCCCATAACTGATGACAGACCTGCTTTCAGAGGCCAAAGCGTCTGCTTTCCAGACAAGATTATCATTGCAAGATTTAATCACACCTTCAATAATAATGCCAATTCACTTGGGGAAGGGAAATGTCAAAGATACTGACAAGAAGAATACCAAATTGACTTTCAGTTGTCAATTACAAAGCAAAATTTCCAAGAGTAATGACAAGTTTGGGTCAAATCCCATAATGGGGCTCATGTCCTACAAAATTCCCAAGAGGACCTAAACATTAGAAACTTGTCATAACCATATAATAAGTGGACAAAGCTATGGGGAGACTTATGTGAATGTATGCTCTGAATATTTTTTGACATTGACAAGGAAAATGATCTGAACAGAATAGTCATGAATGATAAATTACTTATAAAGAACCTTCAAAGATTACTCTACTTTTTTTGGAATGGTTATAGTCATTCACACTATTATGTTATAGTGCTTCTTCACAGCATAAATATAACAATCAAATCATTTTTACCACACACTACACTCTATTTATGTTCTAATTTTATTAAACAAAATCAGACTGTCAGGATTTTGCCTTTCCACATATTCTATTAATCTGTGACAAACAATTCCTTTATCTTCACTATCATCAACAAAAACATGATCATAGCAACTATATTTATAAAATCATTCTGAAAAATACAATTATATTAAGATTGATGATAGAAACTGTAATCTACATCAGATTCTTTACATAAAGTTGTGGTTAGTATAATCTCTTTTATTAATCAGATTATTTTCTACATATTTTCCAGACTACTTTCCTCTGCCCTCCATATTTTGTACCTTGTGGTTCTGTACAGATGTCGTCCTCACTACAGCGACCATATTTCACATGTGCATTATGTCTGTGGACCGCTACATTGCCGTTCGGTACCCCTTCAAGCACCTTCGCTCACGCTCCAAGAAAGGCCTGATCTTTAAAATCACATTTATATGGGGACTATCCCTTACGGTGCCCATTCCATTTGTTGTGACCACCATTGCAGCAAACAATGATGGTGGACCCCAGTGCGTATGGATTCGCTCCACAGAGGCCATTATATTGTCCACAAGTGTAACGTTTTACATTCCTTTGATAATAATGGTGGTGGCATTTTTCCTGACTTTACAACACCTGCGTAATGAAGGCCATGTGAAGTACAGATCACCATCTGAGGAAATGTCTACGGCCACATCGAGCGTGCACACGTTCAGTCACAACCCAACTTTCTCCATTATCAAGGCAAAGTCAACAAACTGTCTGGAAGCTGGGGACAAGGAGCACAGCAGCAGAAGTCATAGCTTAGCACATTTTCAGAAATTCTGGAAAACCCACCCAGATGATGAGAGGAGGAAACCCTGCAGCCACAGACAACATTCTAGCGAGGGGGAGGAAGATGGCGGCCACACTGGCGTAAATATAACCCAAGAACTGCCACCTAATAAACAACATATTTGCAGTTGTGGCATAGTTTTAGATTTACCGCCAAGTGACAATGAATCAAACGAGTCCAATTCTCCTTGCCTCATGGACAGCGGACTAGTGTTTGACGCTGAGAGCCCTGAGACACATTGTATCAATTCAAACAATAAAGACTTGCTTGGGATACAAAATAATAAAGATAACTTAAAGATACAAAGTTGTGAAATGCTGAGCCTTAAACGGCACAGTCAGGACAGCAATACCCCCAGTATTATGAGGGGCTTGAGGCAAGTGAGGAAAACAATCCTATACAGAAAGCAGATCTCTGCAGTAAGTCTGCCCATCATGGCTAAAAATCACTGTAATGGGCCTGATCACATTAAGAAGTACAGTGACCCAGAACACAACTCTATAAATACCCGCAGCCAGCGTAACCAGAGGAAAGCCTCAAAGACACTAGGCATACTGTTTTTCGTGTTTGTTCTTATGTACTTTCCTTTCTTTTTGACGGCTGTAATTTACACATCTTGTATGGAGTGTCGGCATGTGATTTCACAGACTGTAGTCTCAGTATGCGAGTGGCTGGTGTTTGCAACCCCCATGGTCAATCCTATCATCTACAGAATATTCAACCCAGACTATAGGAAGGCCTTCCAGAAACTTCTGCATTGCTATTACTGCAAAAAGCAATCTGGGTTGTGAGAAATAGCATTTTTAGAAAAAAATGGGGGGGGAGGGAAATATTGTGAATTTGTAGAATTTTGTACTTCCTTCATGGGTCTCTCAGTTAGTCTGTTTGGTAAGGTACTGAGGTCAGTTTCACAAAAATAAAAAACTAAACTTACTTTAGCATCAAATTTCACTCTATTTAATTTTTTCATTTAAGGATAAATCTGTACAAGTCAGCTAGAAAAGAGTAACTGTATGTACCATTTTTTTCTTTCATGTTATAAAATTAAGGGCAATAAATTCACTTTAACAAAGTCAGGTGAAATATATATATATTCATTAACAGGTGATTTCAGGGGAAGAATTCGATCCTGCAAAAGAATCTGACAACTATTTTTTCCACAGCTGCAAATTATTTAGGTTGGTGATAAGTTATTGTCTCTGTCATTTTGAAAAGTGTGAATCTATTAACCTAAACAATTGCAATATGTCGGACTTGTGTTTAGCATCAAATTCTGAAAGCACCTGTTCATGGAAACATGCGATTTACCCAACCCTATTCACTGTTACCTAATAAGTTTTGAAGAAAGTACAACTTTAAAGCCTTTTTTTTTCTTTTGTTTGCTTTATTTGGATTTTTTTAAAATATGTATTTTGTGTTGTTTAAGAAACTGGTACTAGTCATTTATATATGTAATTTAAGGGCATAAACTCTCTTTTTAAAGTATATTTAAGTGTACCAGGAGAACATAAGTTATCTGTGCAAAATGGTTAGTTAAGTTTATGCTGCAGTCAGATTGCATTTATCAAAACTGTACAGTCTTTTGGGTTTTTTTTTAAAGAAAACCAAACTGAAAGTGGCTCGAGGTACACTTATCTTTATAAAAAAAGTCTGACTGCAGGCTCTTTTAATGTGTGACCAACTTATTGATTTATTACCTAATATCTAAAAAGATCATGAGATGAAAACCGTCAAAATTACAAGATACGAGTCCTTAATATGAAAATATTGATCTCTGGTATCTCTAATGATCAATGGGTGCACCATGATACAAATGTTAGGTAACACTGAATGGATTGTATATTCAATGAAGAAAAACATTGGACACACAACTTGTACGGCAAAAGTTGTCACTGGGGAATGAATTACGGGTGCAGCGAGTGCAACGAAGAATGTGTGCACTGAAATAAAGATCAAATAAAAATGTCATATACATTTCATGAACATACTCATTACACGTGTTAGTATATCCACCGATTTGAAAACTCTAAGGCATGGGAGAGGCAAAGGAAGGCACACTAGACTCAATAAAACAGATTTTAAATATTGTCAATGCTTTTTTCTTAATGCAAATGAGTTTTGCTTTTTCCATATATTTGAACAGCTGTTACAGTAACTGAAGGCATTTCTTATATCATTTTTTTCTTCAAATTCTGTTAACCTAGAAATTAAAATTCATCTCTGTCTCTTCTCATGATGAATTTCCATGCCTCATCTTTTATTCAAATGGTTCCTCTTACAACTAATGCACTTTTCATGTTATCAGCATTTAAGCCAGACTTATGCTGCTTATTGTTTATTTATTGCCTATTTGTGTAATGATGATGAGCTATTAAACTTGCTTTTATTTATTTTGACCTTACTTTTTATGCGTTTAAGTGATGTCTAGTATAGATCTATTTATGAAAAACTCATAATAATAATGTAAAGATTTCCCCCACCCTTGAAAACAGTTAACCAATCACTGGTTTGTTTGTTTTTTTTTTTTTGTTTTTTTTATCGATTTAATATAATAGTAAGAAGTAGATCATTCATCTACAGTTTATTAATAAATGCTGTGTGTATCAGAGTTTATTATTGGGATAATTCATAATAAAATATCATCCAACTATTTTTCATTACTAAAAAGAAAAATATTTCAATAAATATTTGGTTTGCAGAAAGGGTACCAACAGTGTTCTTACAGTTTTGTAGTAAACAGAAACCTTTCTGTTTAAAACCATTTATCCTTCAAATTGAAATCTCTCCACCAATTAAATTACATAACCATTAATTCAATAAAGATGGCACTTAAAATGTCTGCAAATTTGATTAAAGTACAATATGGACATGATTATCATTTCCTTTATTTTTAATTATTACTCTAATGTGGATGGGATTATAGCTAAAGAATTGCAGCTTTCTAAAGTACAACATTACCACAAACAATTAAAATTACAACCAATCAATACAGTGTACTCCTGACGTCTTTGGTTCAGCAGAATCCTATTCAATAAGAGTGCTCAAATATATCCCACTACTAATTAATTTAATTACAATAAATTCATGAGATGGTCATAAGAAATTAATCCTTTCTCTTCTTTTATCCCTAGGACTGACAATAATAAGTCTGCCTGGTGACTCCAATTTTCTTCAAACTAAATGAGTAAGTACAGGAGCACTGGCGACCCACCCCTGGGAAAGAACCTCACATCACCATTCAATAACTTTACTAGACCGAGTAATTAGGATGTGGATATCATTACTTAACCATTCGAGGCCCATTTAATCCCTTTATTTCTAAATATACTGAAATAACTTTTACATAAAAAAGGCGTTTAATTTTTTTTTTGTTAACTATTCTTTTGTCTGTTTCAAAGCATCAGTGATGGCTGTGAAATCTCTGTACATCCATTTCTCAGCTTCATTCAACAGAACATCAGGTAAAATATCATTGTATAATTTGGCTCTCTTTACGAAGTGTTAATAAGTAATCAGGAAGTGAATGAATCCATTTGTATTTACTCAGAGGTCCTGAAAGTGTTATAGGAAATAGGGCTCTATAGGGATCAATGTAAGACATTCATTCAAAATATTAGACCGTCCTACATGAACCACAACATACACCAGGACAACAGACAACAAGCCTGAAAGTGATGAAAAAATAATTAACAAAAATAATAATGATTAAATAAAAACATAGCACAGCACAGCAATTGTTGTTTATAACAAAATGCTCCATCAAAATTCAAGTCCATCATTCTGTTACTCACATGAGGGTACAAGTTGTCTAGCTCAACCAGACCATGTTGCACCAGCAGTGCTGCCACCTTGTAGAGAGATTTGGGGGTTTCACTGCCAACAGTCTCCTACAAAATAAGAAGCATTTCATGCACAATATTTACAGGGTAAGATATCACAGTGACTATGGACTTTAAACATGGGCCATTTTTTTTTACTTGTAATGTCTGTTCACTTTACTGCATAAACAGAACCTCTTACTTAAATATTGATGTTTTCTAATTATTTATATTCCTGCTACTCAGTCTTGCACTCATTTTTTTAAAGCTTTACTAACCCAAAACTGATCACTTCATAAAAAATCAAACATATCAAGCGCACCTTTGATACAATGACCAGCAGTTAAAGCACTGACAAAATACCTGATAAAAGTGAAACTTGAATCCCAGCACATGACAGAGGCGCTGTGGATCCATCATATATGACCTGAGTAATGTGACAAAGAAATCCACCAGGGCGGGGCGGCACTCAAATGCATCCAGGATTATATCCAGAACCCGGTTTGGGTCCAAGTTGAAAAATCCTGAAATCACACAATGCACTTTTCAAAAACACATGCACACTGCAGACAGAGTATTTTATTAAATATGTGTTCAATATCAAATACAAAATAAGAAATTTGAGAGATCTTTGCAATGATGCTAAACTGTATGCTCTATGAACATGAAGCTGACCCTTATCAGCTCTGAAACTCAAGTATTTGTTCTCCTAGTCATTAAACTGCTGCTTGAAACAAAAGGAAAATATTTCTAAAGCTGCATCCAAGAGCATTTTGCCAATGCCCATGGCCCATATCAATCTGCATCTTCTTGCAACCCATTTCCAAAAAGAAATTCAAAGTCTATAAATTTGTCTTAACTTTTTATCAAATATTTAAATCTACTTCAATGTAAATCAAAAAATCAATTAAAAATACTGTAGTTAACACCAGGTTGGCCCAACTTATTTTTTTCTTATCAGAAGCAACTGTCTCTTGGTAGTACTGTGGTGGCTTTTACCTATAAGGGATTTGATCACTTGTAACATCATATCAGGTGTCAAGGTGTGGACGTCTTGTCCCAGCTCTGCAATCAGTTTGGCATACCCCTCACTCTCCTCTCGCAAAAGATTGAATTTTTGCTGCTTGTAACTGAAAATAAGGAGTTAAATGATGTATTGAGAAACATAAATGGGATGTAGAATAATACTTATATTACAAGCCTGGACTGAATTTATTCCTTACAACCTGAGGAATTTCTCTAGGTTCATATTAAGTGTACTCTTTAAAATGCCCAAGCTTTGTTTTAGTGAAGGGTGTTTAATTTAGTTAAGGCTGGCAAATTATACCATACTTTGCAATGACAAAATTTTTCTTCATTTTATTCTCTGGTTTCACCAAGACTTGACCTCAAATTTCACTTTTTCTTCAACAAAATCAAACGATTTCCACTGAATAAAACTTGACTGAAAGCACAAAAATTAAACTTTTTTTGTGAATAATCAGTATCTTTATGGACACGCTCGTGAGACTTACTATAATTTTGTTTTAGTCTTGACATATTTCTGCTGAAAAGCTTGTTTGGATGGTATCAGTCCCACAGCCTCCAGAGTATCAAAGTCCAATCTTTCCTTCAGTACTTGCTCAGATATGAAGCCCTGAGAAAATAAACAATGAACTGTCAAACTTTCAAAATTAGGAGCGAATAAAAATTAACTTGGTATACTGATGTGTTCTCTACTAAAGTAAAGGATTCACGGATAAAAAACTCCACTTGTTACTAAAGTTAGTGTCAAAACTTCCAATACATCAACATCATGCCAATTCTACAAAGATCGAAGGATTTGTCCAAAATTATTTTGACACAACAAAACCCAAAATAGAGCAAATCAAGCAGATAAATTATCTGACAACTTTCAAACACATTTGCACTATTTTATACTTTTCTCCTTTGTAAGAAACCAAAAGAAAAGTTCTCTCTCTCAGTGTTTTAATTGAAACCATTGTATAATATTTAATTGTCTGTGATTTCAATTGAAGAGATGAATCACTTACTAAGCATGCTGGTACTAATGCTAGAAAACGCTGTCTTTGTTTGGGTTTCTCTTCTTCAGCTTGGGTTTCAACATCTGGAAGATACAAAGTATGAACAAGTGATTGTAATTATCATCTTTTGTGCTTTTAGCATTTATTCAACTTTTTTTTTACATCTAATACATCTTTGTATTCCTTATTACACATATTTTATGCATATTATGATGATGATTGTTTAACTCAAAATATTTTCAACATAAAGAATAAATATAACCAGTAATCAACCTTGCATTCCTATATTATCCACTTTCCAGATGTGAAATTTTATTTGATATAATAGAGCATGCAAATTCATTTCTCATTCAATTATTAATCCAACCACATAAAAAGGCTGTGTCTACTACTTTATATTATCTTCCAAATGTCTTTAGACTTGGATCCAAAATTTCTGCCCACCCAGACCCCAGAGCAAGTTGTGGATGTTATCAACTCATTTTTTGGTTTCTATGCAAATCTTAATGCTAGTTTTTTAATCACTTATTGAACGATCTCAAAAACCCTGAAGACAACTAGAATTCTGAACAGTCACCAACCTCATACAAGTCTTTTTAAACAAAAGACAAGATGTAACATCCATTACTGTTTTCAGAAATCATAGTAGGACTCGTTTCACGAGTTCTTTGTAGGGAAATAACCAGTCATCACTTTTGAGCAGTTACTTGGCGTGTAGTGTCTAAACCCCTTTTTTTGTTTCATAATTTCACAACTGAAGATACATATAGTAAAATATTACACACACATCGTTTATTTACGTATTCATACAACTTTTTTCAACAATTCAGTAAGTTTGCATATTCATACTAATAAGCAAAATCTGATGCTGAAAGCTTTGTTAACTGTCCAATTGTGAATTATTCTCAATACCAATGTTTGCAACTTTTTGTTTTTCTTCTTCGCCATTATTTATCTGCTTGATGTAAATTGAAACCAATTTTATGCATTTAAAAATACAAGAAGCAAGCTTAAATCTATCACATTGCCAACAAATCTAAAGCAAGTTAATTTTTTTAATAATGACATTTGTGTTATTCACACCTTTGTCAATGTAGTAAAAGATATATTTTATTGATGTAACTAACCACTAGCAATCCCTACTGCCAGGAATAAAACCAGTTTTCAGTTTTAAAATATGTAGCAGTAACATGACCATTAGGAATGACTGGTCATACTGTAAGTGACTAACACGATAATTTTAAGTTATAATTGCTAAGGTTTATATGAAGGGATTTTGATGAACTTCGTATGTACAAGTCCACTGGTAAATGAAAGTGAGAACAATTGGGTTTAAATAACCACAAACTATATTTCTCAAACTTGTGATTTACCATGTTTTAACATTTCTAATCCCTCAAGGATTCAAGTAACATATTTCAAGATATTTCAAGCAGGTCCTTTTTTGCGAGTACTGTCAGATTTTCAACCTGCAGTTATTTTTGTGATGTTTATGATGACAAGCCTCCCCCCACCCTTTTTTTTTTTTTGTAAACTAAAACAAATTTCTAGTGAACATTATATATTATAAAAACATGTCTTGAAACCGATTTTGATGTAAAAATGCAGCATTCCTACAAGAAGCATTTACTGTCCAGTAGAACCCACGTATCTGTATTTCACTCTGTATTCATCTGAAATCTCATTTCTCACATGTACAATTTATGCTATAGTTAAACTTATGAATGCAAAGCATCTTCCTGATTTCTTTGCAATACTTCATTTTGTATTTACTTCTAATTAGTGCTGTACTGTGCAAATGCTCCATTTATACATTTTACTTTCTATTTAATAATATAGACTGAGAGGCTGCTTCTATTTTTCCATTTTTTTATCTCTATTGCATACACACTGCTCAGGGAAAAAATTGAGAAATTCCTAACAGGTATTTGCTCACTTGATCTGAAAACATTTCTCATTCTCACTGTTATTGGATAAATCAAAACAATTTCACATCTAGATGATGAGTAATTGTAGACCTGATTAAAATCAATTATTAAGCATTCTTCCTGTCTTTAAATAGTTATATTGAAACAGTCTTCAATGACCAATTGGATTTAAAATTAATGAAGAGAAAATTGTAATATGATGATGAAAACTTGAATAGTTAGATATTAAAGCAAATTTGTAAGCTGCTTAAGCTTTTTCATGACCAACAATATTGGTAAGAGATCCACACACAACTTTGCAGAATCCAATTGAATATCATGAAAGAGTTGCACAATGCAAACACATTCAAATAACGATATTAGTATGGTATAATACAATCTAAATATCAATTGAAACTTTTCACTATATTTCAAATGTGTACATCAATCTGATGGGGTGTTTCAATGGAGAATATTTAAAGACTGTTTCATACTTCTAATCCATTCATAAGATCAATCATCCGTGGGCATTCCAATTGCTTTTTTCCCAAGAATTTTTCTTCTTCAAAAAATAAAACAGTGTTAGTTCTCCAAAATCTGAATGAAAATGAATTATGTCTGTCATCAAGTCGCGAAATCAATACCACAAGAAAGAGTTTGTTTGCCAAAGCTTGCTCCATGACACACTGATTCAATGGATTTCCTTTTCACCAATCTTCATCAGTTTCCCATTGTTACCTTTGGTAGCCGTCTCTATAAATATCCATTGGGATTTTTTTTTCCAACTGAAGAAATTCATGCAGCATTATATTCATGATCTGTATGCTGAACGTTTAACATTGTAGTCTCTGGAGGAAAAAAATGGGACTTCATCTTTCAAGAAGTCTGATTTGCAGTTTCTGTAATGTTCATTCAAATTTCCAGTCAATGCAGTCAATGGGTTTTTCATGGAAAAGTTATTTTTGTTGCCCATTATCAAGAACTTTATTAGAAATAACATGATGATATCGAGAGACAAATCTTGCTGATCAACTCCATTGAAATTCACCTTGTCTCAGTCTTTGCCAAAATCCTCTCAGCTCTGGTCCTCCAGGGTTTAAGAGTCTACTAGCCCATAGCAGAAGCAGCAGGGCTAGCAGATGAAGACAATTTTCAAAATTGTACTGCCCAGGCTCCCATTTCACTAGTATTTGGTTGGAGTCCATTGTTAAGATTACAGGCAGTCTCATAGAAATGTATAGTGATCAAAATGGCATGCCCATTGCACTTCAGTTTATTGTCCAAACAATAGATATCCACAAACCTGTTCAAGAAAGTATCTATATTTCACAATGTTTAACAGAGACCAACAAAGGTCTCACGAACATGTTATTCAGTCTTCAAAAAATCTCTTCCATTTCTTCAGCTTAGTTTCAGCATCGCCCAACCACTATATTTATGTGCCCTTCAGTGCCTTAAAATATAAATTTTGCAAACAACAGTAGTTCTTTTCTCCTGGTTCTATCTTGAGTTTTCTCTGAAGTTGTACGACTTTTACTTTGGTGTC